GTCCCCCCCCCACCTGCGCATGCTCCCCTCCAAACCTGTAGGGGGCGATATGAAACCACGTGCCACAAACTACCCACGAATGAAGGAATGAAACCGGAAGTGGGGCGTTGTGTCGGAAAGGTTGAAGTGTTTTTATAGTAGGACACTTTAATAACTAACAGGAGCATCCTTACGGTAAATGTTTCAATGTGACGCTTGTTTGTTTTTGTCTGTTTTCAAAYCACTGCGTTGGTAGAGTTATTTGTGCTCACTAGAAGATAATTTTAGCTTGCGTTTGTATGTCCATCATAATATTTAGCAAGTCGTTGAATAATCTGTTTAAAAAAATGAATGCGTTAAATCTTATAAAATGTGTTGTTAACGTGCTGAATGAAGAAGGAAATAATTTGCTTTTGGTCCAACTTTATTGAAGCGAAAATTTTTATATCAATGCTTTCATACTGAGGAAATTAGCCCTCAGATTGTCTTCAAGCCCAACCTTAGGCTTGTTATGAAAAGAGAAAAAGTTCTGATGRAATTTAGACCATTTCCGGTTACAATTTGTTAGAAATGCGCGAAGCGGGACTCGTTCATCAGAAAAAGGCTGATGTCGTCAAACGCCATTGAAATTGAACTAGTTGAGTCTGTAAAATGTACACTGCAGAGCAGATGTATTGCTCTAAACTGATTTGTGTCAAACTTTCCTTTAGGGTCATAGATAAGATTTTTATAAATATCTAAAATCTGATTTTTGAACTTATTGAATTTGCACAATTCCAAATCTGTTTTCATAGYAAAATAGAGTTAGGCACCGCTACACCTAACTGTGAAATGATCTATTATTTTTTTTAAAAAATGCCAGGGATTTTAGGATATGTGTTGCCAATTCTACAAATAAAACAGCTGCTGTTTATTTTGGAGAGATAAATTGAGATGTCGTTGATTCATGTCATATTTCTTTTTTATTACAGCGCACCTGAATGTGCCATGGAGCCAGTCGTACGCAAGAGTTGGMGGAGAGTCTTTCACAATCTCTACAGAACCTTGATTGTTCCAAAGACAAACCATTCAGTTCAGGCTGAGTATACAGCTGTCCCTGCCTCCCCCCACTCCAGTCATGTCAAGTCCCCGCTCCTGGTATCTCGACTCTTCCAGCCTTCAAACCTGCGTGACCTGGGGCAGGACAACCGGCTGGCGGGAGAAATGAGCTGTAAGAGCCAGAGGCTCATGCAGCAAGCTGGGCTCATCCATCCATCAAACCCAGGGTGCTACTACTACCTTCCTGCCACTGTCCGCTCCATGGAAAAGCTGGTAAGTTTTTTAAAAAAAAAAATAATTTAAGAGCTCAAAAGAAAAAAACTGTGTAGGTCTTCTGGACGGGTTCTTCTCTAATGAAACGTTTCGTCTCTCCTCCAAGAGACTTCTTCAGTCTGAGAGTTTCAGGCAAAATTCAGGCTTTTAAGCCCTGCCTCCATGTGACTGATACTCACATCACATGGCTATCGTTGACACCTAATTAACACCTATTGTTAACAGGGGGTGGAGTGATACTGGCAATAGCAGCGCTGTAGGAGGGGGACAACTGAAAACGGAGGCCTCCACCTCTGTTTAATGATGGACTGTCTTTCTTCACAAAAATGGCTTCTTTTACTCCTCTCTCAAACCAACGTTCCTCTCTATCAAGAATGAGAACATCCTCATCTCTGAAAGAGTGACCGCTGGCCTGTAAATGAGTGAAAACTGCAGAGTTCTGGCCATTAGATGTAGCTCGTCTGTGTTGGGACATTCTTTTGAATGTCCCAACACATGTCCCACATGTCCCAAGAATTCAAACATGTCCCATGTTTGAATTCTTTGGTTATTCCGTATGCTGCGGGTGTTTCGGAGAAACTGAGACGTTTATTTTCTAAACATGATGTCCCAGTGGCTTTCAAACCCCAAAACACATTACGGCAAAGGCTGGTTCACCCCAAAGATCCGGTGCCCCGGCACAAACAGAGCAATGTTGTATATGCTGTTAAGTGCCAGGAGGACTGCGACCAGTTATACATCGGGGAAACAAAGCARCCAMTGTTCAAAAGAATGTCCCAACACAGACGAGCTACATCTAATGGCCAGAACTCTTCAGTTTTCACTCATTTACAGGCCAGCGGTCACTCTTTCAGAGATGAGGATGTTCTCATTCTTGATAGRGAGGAACGTTGGTTTGAGAGAGGAGTAAAAGAAGCCATTTTTGTGAAGAAAGACCGTCCATCATTAAACAGAGGTGGAGGCCTCCGTTTTCAGTTGTCCCCCTCCTACAGTGCTGCTATTGCCAGTATCACTCCACCCCTGTTAACATTAAGTGTTAATTAGGTGTCAACGATAGCCATGTGATGTGAGTATCAGTCACATGGAGGCAGGGCTTAAAAGCCTGAATTTTGCCTGAAACTCTCAGACTGAAGAAGTCTCTTGGAGGAGAGACGAAACGTTTCATTAGAGAAGAACCCGTCCAGAAGACCTACACAATTTTTTTCCTTTTGATTTTTTACCTGGATTACTGAGATGCATCAGGACAATTTAAGAGCTCGTWAAAGTTGAAGCATCTGTTAGTGACAACTGCAGTTTTTAACCAACAGATAAGGGTGATTGACCAGGAGATGCAAGTGATTGGCGGACAAAAGTTAGACATGCCCAGTTTGTGCTCGGCTGATCTCTGGAAAACCAGTGGGCGCTGGGATTTAATGGGAAGTGAGCTGTTCCGACTAAAAGACCGCCACRGTACGGACTACTGCTTGGGTCCCACACACGAGGAGGTAGTGACCACTCTTGTTGCTCACCAGGCGACTCTCTCCTACAGACAGCTGCCTCTGCTGCTCTACCAAGTAAGTTTTCATTCYGTTGCTGTCACCAGCATGTTTGTTCTAAGCTGGAGTTCTGATATTATTTTTGTTTTAATAAAAACAGATCACCAGGAAGTTCAGAGATGAGCCGAAGCCCAAATTTGGTCTCCTACGAGGCAGAGAGTTCTACATGAAGGACTTGTACTCCTTCGACGTGAGCGAAGAAGCTGCTCATCAGACGTACGAGACGGTGTGTCGAGCGTACTCTCGGCTCTTTGCCAGGCTGGGCCTGCGATGCGTTCAGGTGCAGGCGGACACRGGAAACATCGGCGGCACGCTCTCCCACGAGTTCCATCTGCCGGCAGACACCGGCGAGGACCGGCTCCTGGCTTGTGGGAACTGTTCCTTCGCAGCTAATGTGGAGACTTTGTCTTCAGACAGAACTGACTGTCCGCAGTGCAACACTGGTACACTGGTAGAGTCACGTGGCATAGAGGTGGGACACACTTTTTATCTGGGTAAAAAGTACTCAAATGCTTTCCAAGCCACCTTTGGAAGTGTCCAGAACAAACTTACTGTTGCTGAGATGGGCTGCTTTGGTCTCGGCGTGACCCGTATTCTTGCTGCAGCCATTGAGGTGATGTCAACAGAGGACATGATCCGCTGGCCGGGCCTTATCGCCCCTTATCAGGTCTGTGTTTTACCCCCGAAAATGGGCAGTAAGCTGGATGGGGCATCAGCCATAACAGAAGAACTGGTTCACACTTTGGGAGAAGCTCTTCCTCGTTTGAGAGGTGAAGTTGTTCTTGATGACCGCACACAGATGACCATTGGAAAGAGGCTAAAGGACGCCACTCGACTGGGCTATCCATACATCCTTGTAGTTGGACAAGGAGCTCTGGAGGAAACTCCAAAGTTTGAGGTGATTTGTCAGCAGACAGGTGAGACGAGGTTTCTCAGTAAAGATGGAGTGCTGGATCTCCTGGGAAAAGTGGAAACAGTTTAACAAAAAACWAATTTTTAAACATTATTTAAAATTTGCATTTGTTTGTATTTTTTTAAAGTGAACAATAAAATGTGTTCGTGACACTTAAAACTTGTAAAAGCTGMGGTAAACTTGATGTGAAAATCGATTTAAATGCATTTTGTCATGACGGTGCAATAAAAAGAAAAATATGACCAGATTTGTCTCCTGTTTTGTTTGCTAATAATCCTATTAGTAGTCTTTTGACTAATGTTGATAGTGTTTTTAATTGTTTTAATTTACTTCTGAATTAAAATAATTAGGACTAAAATGCTTATTCATTCAACCTACAGGTCTCGTGGTCTTTATCACTGTCTGCACTTAATAAACAGTTTTAACAATCCAAAAGACAAATATGAAAAACTAAACTGACAATCAAGTTCCAGTTGAATAATCAAAGATCATTAAACAGGGCCCTAATGATGTGGGAATTTATTTCTAACATCACTTTGATCCATCATGTTAAATCCTGTAAAGTCTATGTCTGGACTTAAAATATGCCCAAGCAGTTAAAACTTTAACAAAAAAAATAAATTATATGTACGGTATACATTGATTATGAAAGCCTTTATTGTCATCGTTTGCACAATGAAATTACATTTATATAAAAAAGTACCATATAAATATAAATATATGGCTTTTGTYTTGCAATAAAACAAGTGAAAATCATGAAAGGTAACAAAAGTAACGTTATTCAGCAAAACACAAATGAAAAATACTTAAATATTTGCGCAATATTTTTACTCACCTTTGACTAAACCACCATTTAAACAGCTCTGAGGCATTTATATGTGTTAACATAGACTGTATGAAATATGCTTTATAATAAACTCAAATACTTTAAAATAGGACTGGATAGTTGACAATTAGTAACTTGAAGGTTCAGACAATTTTACTCATTTCACTTTAGGATATTTCTGTTCAGAAAAATAATAACAATAGAGGCTACATAGGTATACAAATGTAAATATATTTTTCAAAATACCTATTCCATGAAAATCTGCTCTATTTCATGCAGTGAAAGTAAGACTTTATGTTATTGCTGAATACGGAACTAATATGCAGCTTCTRTGTTTCCGCGCGGATCCTACTTACCGTTGTACCGCAGACATGTGTAAACAAAACGGCGTCCAGAAAACCCTAATATTTTAAAACTGGTGGCTCTTTAGTCGTCGATTACTGCAGCTTTTTAAATACTTGTCAATTAAGGACAAACAAAACGACGTTGTAATTTATATTTTGATCCAAAATGGCGTCAACGGAGGTTCAGAGTGACAGTGACGACGGTATGGACGAGTTCATGGATAAATTCAAGACTCAGAGATACAAAAATGCGTTCACTGAAAAAAACTGGGAGGAGGTAACACCAGCACTTAAACGCTTTAAACATAAAGCTCTTTGAAGCCTTGTTGTTGTAGCCTACTTAAATATCTTCTGTACACTGGGCCATTTTCTTTCMTAGGAGTTCAACAAAGTACCCATGTTCATGAAATCAGCTCCTGAGGAGATCGACCCACARACGTACCCAGAACTAGCATGTCTCCAGTCTATGATCCATGATGAAGACCGTTCTCCAGAAGGTTAGTAGACCTCGGCTTTAACTGAATGATGTCTTTACTCACAGCAGGTTTGAAAATGTAAAACCCATGTTTCTCTTTAGAACAAGCAAAGAGCCTGAAGAATGAAGGAAATGCATATTTCAAAGAGAAGAACTACAAACAGGCTGTGGTGTCTTACACCGCAGCTTTGAAGAAGAAATGTGGAGATCTGGAGCTCAACGCTGTACTCCTCACCAACCGAGCAGCTTCACACTTCTACCTGGGTAAAACTATTCAGTTTGTGAGGATTTAAATGCTGTTTAGGGCTGCAGCTAACGGTTATTTTAATAATCGATTAATCAGATAGGTTTTTTTTTTTTTCGATTAATCTGCCAAATCATTAAAACGCTTAATTACATGAATATGAGTAGATAAGAATTAATTTCACTCCTGTATAAATTAGGAATGCAAGTTATTGATTAATTAATTAATCTGAAGTTGATTTATCTTATAGATTGACTAACAATTAATTGATAAGCAGCCAATTTTCTTTAAAAAAAAATCTGGATTTTTCTCTTGAAGCAAGAGGGTCTTTCCATAAAATGAAAGTTTTTTTTATAATCTCCTGAATTAAAAAAACAGAAGCACATCATAACTATTTTAACAATTTATTTTGCCAGTTGTATTAAATACCAACTGAGAAAAAGTGTGTTTCTCATACATGAAACACAACAGAAATTTAATAGGTTGCTGAGGGAGGAAAATAGATTACAAGAATAAAATATTKATTGATTGATTGATTGATTTAACAGGAAAGATTACTAAAAGTCAAGCCTGACTCAGCATAATTGCTGTTTTACAGCAGGTTCCTGTTCTGCAGCACATAAAACACTCCGAATTACCGCATCACAATCACATC